AGCCAGCATGGCTGGCTGGGGAATTCTGGGAGTTGAAGTCCACCCATCTTCAAGTTTCCAAGGTTGAGGAACCCTGGTTAAGGTGGTGTGTGACTGGCATCAGAAAGACACAGGGCCTTGTCCTGTTTCAGCCACCGTCACACTCTCAGACCAACTTACCTGGCAGGGTGTTCATTTGGGGGAAAAGTAGGAGGGGAGAGGGCTGCATACACCACCTTGAGCTCCTGAGTTAAAGCTGGGATGGAAATCGAATGAATGATGAATTCAAGTCAAGACTGGAAAAACTAAGAAACGTTTTGACCAATACTCATCTACTCCAGGATCCTGTCTTCCCAGTAGCTACTCAGATGCTTAAGTGATGACTACCTACACACCAACGTGTCACAACTTCTTCCTGGTTGTGTTTCCCAGGAATGGTTATACAGAAATTCAAAGACTCTATTTATCACAGGTAGTATGTCAAATTTCTCCTGCACTTTTTCCGACCAGTTCTCATTCAGTTAGGCAGAAGAGAATTTGACTGCCAAATTACTTTCCAAGGAGGTGAGAATTTCGGGTGGAATGTGGAATCCTTGCACTTATCCTGTGATGAAATAGCCAACAATCTCTGGGGGAGATTGGCGGCACATAAAATCAATCAATCAATCAATCAATCAATCAATCAATCAATCAATGTAAATGGCCAATCTTCACTATGCAATCATCGGTGATCTGTAGCCCCTCCAGCTTCAGTTCTTTAATTAAATTCCAAGATATGAGGAAGGAACTCCTCCACAGAGGCTTTTTCTAGCTAGAAGTGTAGATTGCAGACAGGTTCAGAGTAATGGAAAAACGTGCCAAAGAAGATAACACTGACCATAACATTCTTTGCCACTCCTACAGTAAACTGAGCTAAAAACAAACAAACGAACCATTAAGAGGAATTAGAAATTCTCAAATGTCCTGGGAATAAACAGAAGACTTTATTACAAGCTAAGAGCATGTTTTAGAAACTATATCGCAGATTTTGGCAGATCACCATTATACACCTATCATGACTGATAGACCATATGCTCCATTAATTTATCTATTTCTCTTTAAGGCTGCCCATTCATTATGCTAACTTCCATAATTTTCCAAAATCCATAAGTGACATGATCTGAATCTGGCCCCTGAGCCCATTTTTAAGGTTGTGTTGCTGAAAATTGGTAGTGTTTGATTTCCCTGAATGTGTTTCCAAACAAATTATAATTAAATCAGATGAATTACGTTGGTTGCCCATTCGCAAAATGGCTGCCACAGTGGGAGAGCCAAATCAGAAAAATCCCATTTATCAAAAAGCAAACTCATACCTCCTTTGTGCCCCCAAACACTCAGGATAGAGCCACAGTTTATCTTTGTCTTTTTGTCAGGGCAAATTTCCAAATGAAACATTGGCTACAACTGCTAGTTATCTTTTATGACTACCTATGGGCCTCATGTGGAATCCAAGAGCATTCTCAACAATTCTGGAGGCTGATCTTCAGCACAGTAGTTTCCTTTTCCATTTTGTCCAGCATGATGGAGATACAGGTAGTCCTTGAGTTATGGCAGTTGGAACCGGAATTTCCATTGCTAAACGATGCAGTCGTAAAGCACGATATCATAGGACCACATCACTCAGTGATAGCAATCTCTGCAGTTCCCGTTGCTGTTGTTAAGCGAGGATCATGGGTCGTCAAGGGAGCACCTCCTCACAGCTTCCTGCCGGCTTCTGATAGTCAAGTCAATGGGGAAGCTGGGAGGACGTTGCAAGTCCCAGGTAGCTTGCAAGCAGGTTGGCAGGCAAGTAAGTGGCTGCTGCTGGGTGAGGGAGGGTGCCCAAGTGGCAGAGGCGGCATGGCGCGAGCTCAGCGAGGCTTGAGGAGGGGTGTGTGGGTGGGGGAGACTTTCTGGAGCAACTTGTGACCTTCCCTGCCACCTTCCCCATTACTTTGCTTGTGGGAAGCTGGCAGGGAAGGTTGCAAATTGTGATCATGTGACTGCGGGATGCTGCAACTGTCTTAAGTGCAAGCCGGTTGCTAAGTGCCCTGATTGTGATCACGTGACCACAGGAGTGCTGGGACAATCGGAACTTCGAGGACCGGTTGTAACCACCATTCATTAAATGCCATTGTAACTTCGAACAGTTGCTGAACAAGTGGCCGTTAAACAAAGACTACCCATACTCATAGGTACATTATCTCCAATGAAGCCACATATTTTTATTTATTTACTCATTTAATTGATATAACCACCCATCTCACTCCCCAAATTCACTAGAATTCCAGTGTTTCATGCCTTTTGAGTAACACAACTAAGCAGTGTATTCACCATTCCATCAAGAAACAATTTTTAAATTATTAATAATTATGAATTATTTGTGAAAAGTTTTTTTAAAGTGATGTGAGAAATGAAAAAGACACTAGACACCATATAAATGGCCTCCAAGGTACTATTTGACATTGTGGGAAATAAAAATGGTGGCTATAGTAACCCTGCAGCTTTTCCTGGAGTCCTGGACAGCAAGTAAAATTAAATTAAATAAGGACTCAAGATAGATGTTTGCAAAGACCTCTCCTAGATCACTGGGACCTGAGCAATCGCTCCAGCAGATCAGGCTCTAACACCCATTTTGGAAACCTTCCAAGAACATTTAATTCAACACTTGAAACTTCACTCTATACATCCTTCAGTTGGTCTATCCCGACCTGATTCAAGAGGAAAACATGAAACTCAGTGATGTGTTTTTTTGTCTTTAAATGACTAGGCTATAAAATATACACCAAGTGATAATGCATCTTGTGAATGTAGAAGCTCTAAAGCAGTCCAAAACCGTGTTTGCAGCCACAGCTTAGAAAAGAAATGGAGAATCCACAGCTCTCCAGATGTTGTTGAATCCAACTCTCAGCATTCCTCACCACTGGCCATGCTGGGACTTGTAGTTCCACATTACTTTTTAAGATTTGTTAAGAATGCAAGCTAGCCCATGTTCTGAGCATCACTGTTTAGGGTATGCACTGCATTCAGCCTAGGGTACAATGGGTGATTTAGAATTGTGAAGATTCTGCACCTTGTAATATCAATACAGTTAATATTTCAGATAAAAGTTTAACCAATCTGTTTCACCTGACCTCCCAATTATTTTTTTAAAAAATCAACGTTCACATCACACACTCTCCCTTATTAGGCTGTCATCTGTGTGTGTGTGTTGTTATTTGGATATTTCATGCAAATGATCAAAACACTGATACTATCTTAACTGCTTTGCCCTAAAACAGCAAAGCAAGGTAAATTGAAGAAAAGAGAGGAAGGGAAGGGAAGAGTGAGGGAGATTGTAACAAATGGATTTGGGGCGGCGTGCTGCCTTAAAAGAACGTAGAAATCCTGAGCAAGAAGCAAGGAGAAAGTAATACCACTAAAATGGGCCAAACAAAAATTCATATCGACTGGCAGCAGGCACACAGTCTATGGTTGGTCCTGCTGTAGTAGGCTAGATTGGAGTTCCAAAGTAGCATTAGTCTTCTTTAAAGAGATAGACACAACTAAATTAGGTGCCACTGGCTGCAGTGAGGATCAAATGCAAAAAGAAACCATATTTCACCCGAGCTAGTCAACAGCAGGAAAATAAATAGAAATATAACAGCTATCCAGGCAATGATTCATTTTGATAATCTGGCCCAAGAGAGACACAGGGAGACAGCCTCCAGATCTGAGCTCCTGACAAATAGGACACCAAGGGTGGGAATGTGATGACAGCCTAGCAGAGGTCACATCGATTTCCAACAGCCGTTTTCACAGAGATGAGATAACCCTGCACTCCATTTGGCCTACTGTTCATATCCTACCTGTCCCACCAACCATAAATTTCCAAGTCCCCGAAAAAAGGGGCAGTAAAGAAGAAGGATCCTACTTATGACTTCTTATGATTAAGATTTTGTGCTAACCAAACACGCTTTACTGGCCAAGGTCACATTGCATGTGAAAGTCTGTAATAGCCAGGAAAGACCGGGGGGAAGCGTATTACAGTTTAGCATCTGTGGGTGGGAAGGGAGGGGGAAAAAAAAAGAAGTCCTGTCAAACAATTCATCATTTTCCCCTCTGATTGAAATCACACACTGAGAAGATGAACGATCTGAGCATTAGAAATCTATTTCAATCTTGTAATAGGTCTTCACATCTGAATGGTGACTCCCTTTGGGGCCGTTGCCATCTACAGAAGTGCACAGAGAGGAAGACGTGGGCATCGGTTAATCTGTTCAAGGCCCTCCAAATCCTACCTAAGTCCCACAAGTCCCATCCAGTTCAGTGATGCTTACTCCCAGGAAAGGGGATTTAAGATTGCAATGCAAGTATTTCTGTCTTTCTAGCTAGAGAGCAAAGCTGTTGGTGGGTGTATTTAGGTATTAGCATCCAAGATTCTGGCCAGGGCCATGAGAGAGAAAGAGAGAGCGAGAGAGACTTTATTCACACATACATAGAACATGCCAGTGTACACAAGAAATAAAGCTAGACCAGGATTATCTAACTTATGGAATGGGCAATATTATTTCCATCTAGAGGAGCAAAGAGAGAAATTGCATTTCTAGACCTCATTTGTTAATGTTGCCTGATCTTAGATACTCCTAATTTCTAGCTTGGAACTGAGATGAGCAGACATGCAAGTAATTTTTATCAGTATGTGTGCTGAAAATAGGAATATAAAGCATTAAAAGGCGTAGTATATGATCACCACCACATTCCAAAGCAGCTGCAAATATATTTGAAGAACTCAATACAATAGTTTCATCCAAAACCATAGACATTTCCTGCCACACATTATGGTCCTGTTTACTTCACTGCAGAGGTCCCCAACTTTTCTGGGCTGAAATGGGCATATTTAGGATTTTGAGAACATGATGTGGGCACTGTCATAAGATGTCAGTCATGGGGAGATATAACTTTAGAACTTTAGAAAATAGCAGGGCAATTCCACAAAATTATGCCAAAGGAGAATTATACATGTAGAATGTAAAATGACAATTTACACTTGGAATGTGATCCAACCCCTTGTTAACGATGACTAGATAATTTATACAGTCATGACATTTACCTCCGTGTGGATTAAAATCACTGAAAATGATACCTATTTGTAACTGGGCACAATAAACATTGACGCCATAGCACACTGTCAACAGT